CACCAAAAAAAATCCTTGCACAAAAAGAAAAAGTTGTAGGAAAGAGAACTTTTACAGTGACTTAGTCATATTTCTAATTACTTAAAGTTTTCTTTAGAGCATGATTATAGATAGTAAATATGATTTGGGTAATATATGAATTTTATAAAATTAATTGTATTGAAATTGATGAATAGAAATAAAAAGAGGAGAGAGATGTTATATTTACCCACTAAATATAGGTAATATAAATTCTATATTTAGAAACTCAAAAATGGTTTGGATAAATATAAGAATTTTATAATATTAAAAATTTCTTATATTTATCCATATTTACTACCCATAATCATGCCCTTAGTCAATCCAGTGCAAATTCTCTTCTTTTTTATTTTAGAATTGGGCTTGTTTATTACTTAGTTAAAGACCCAAAAGTACATATATAAACAGTATTTCTTTACATGTGAATTTGTTAAAATAAAATTTAGAGTGAAGTTATTTGGCAACTATTCGTTCAATAATTAAACAAAAGGGATTTCTTGCGCATTGTTGACATCATCTTTATGGACTTTGTAAGACACTCCAGAAGGTTCTCTGAAATCATATATATAATTAAAGAATTTTCTATCTATTTAAAGTGTTTATCTAAACAAAAAACCAAAATTATAATAAATTTTATTTTAAATATTCAATAAATTCATGTTTATGTATATTTTTTATTACATATAAGTTATAACTACTAAAACATTAAATTAAATAAAAAACAAAAATATTTAAATAAGTGATTAAAAGTAGTAAATACAAAAATATTTGAGTATTTTACTGTTGTAAATACAAAATTACAACAAAAAATATATTTCATTTATATTGTATTTCATTTGAGAGTAATAAAAAAATCATGAGTTTATAATAAGTATAAATATTTATATATTTTATTTTCAAAGTTGGAAATATGTAAAGTAAATGATGTAATTATTGAAGTATCATAGTTGAGTATCAAACGATTGTTAGAATGTTGAAAACTTAAAAAAAAAAAGATATCTTATTTCACAGAAAATATATTGAATAATCTCATTAAATATGAGAAAATAAGGTGAAACTTTAAAATGTACTCCCTCCGTTTCAAATTATAAATTGTTTTGGCTAAAAACGCGAATATTAAAAAACTACTTTTTTTTTAAAAGTATATTTTAATATATATAA